CTACACCAAACTGGAGGACCGGCTGTTTCGGCAGCTCTCTGCAGATGCACTTGTGCCCCTTGCCCCGTCCCCTCCACTCCCCTCTGTGGTTCCCCGAAGACCAGTAAGCAGGAGAGCTGGGCTTCCGGGAGCTGAGGGTTACCTCCAGGACTTGATCCACGATTTCCTGCATGACCTCACACTGGGCCTCCGTATCGCTGCAAGGCAAAAAAGGAGAGGAAATCCCCGTTAAAGGAAGAGGCAGAGGAACTGCAAGAGGGGGAGGGAAGGGGGACACCCCACCAGGCACAACCGGGGCTTGGTGAGCTCAGGCTGGGAGAGGCTGCAGCCCTGGGCGGGTCACTCGCTTGAAGTGGCTAAAAAGGCTGGGGGAGGGGGGAGGGAAACGCTGCACGCTGGGCTCATCCATCTGCCAAGCCACTGCAAACGGCACAGGGGCTCTGATTTCTTCGTCCCGTGCTTGGAGAGCTTGATTTCACAGTGATGCTGGTGGGGGTGGGCGGGAAAAGGGGGGGGGAGACGCCTACCGTACTCTGCATTCAGGCAGCATCTTGTTACGCTGGGCTGTGAACCGTGCTACAAAGCAGCCCGACTGAAACAAGATGCTGGGGAGGGGTGAAAGTGTCTTGGCTCTGGCCAGTGTCCTGCTTGCATCAGGCCCTCCGAGACTGGCCCCCCCCTCCCCATTCATAACTGGAGACTTTTAAGAAGCAGGCATTCACTGTCAAACCAGGCATTTGAGAGACTAGCTTGGCTGGTTCGGCTATTAGAGCCCACTACTCCACTTTTCTGCGCAGGATTCTTGGTGTTTCCAACTCAGTGTCGCTTTTTGCCCTTTATAAGGAGCTGGGTCTCCACTTGATGGAATCTCGGGCTTGGATCATTACGATCAAATATTGGCTTCGGCTCCACTTTCGATCTCCTCCTGCTAGCCTAATGGTCCAACTTTTAGCTGACCCCTATACATCAGAATGGTCACAGGCCATAGTGAAAAAGGTGGGTACCCTAGGTATTGATCTGGAACCCCTCTATAACTGTGGTGAGGTAGCAATCTTGCCGGTGGTAAGGAGGAGAATTTGGGATATAGAGGCGCAGATCATTAATGCCGGTAGTCTTGGAGTTTGTTCTCCCTATTCATTACCCCTCCTCCCCTTGCATACCTCCATGGTACCGTATATTGCTAATTTGACATTCCAGTTTTTAGGAGGGTTTTTATGCTTGCAAGGTTCAACCTTTCCCCCTCAGTAGTGGTCTCCGGTAGATACAGGGGTGTGCCGTACAAGGATAGACTTTGTAACTGTAATCTTGGGGAACCTGATTCTATCACCCATATTCTCTTTCGCTGTCGCTGAATTTTTGACTTATGTATGGAAGTCAAGAGTAGTACTTTGTAAATCTCGTAAACCATGTTAGGATTGCTTTGTATTTTGAGATAATGGGAATATTGGTTGACGTTGTTTTAGTACTATCCCTTAAATTCTGCATTTGTTCTGGTTATCTGTGTTATGCCAATAAAGGTTTTCTGTTCTGAACTGGAGACACTCGGAAAGGGTGTTTCTTTAGAAGAGCACCAGTAAGCCGTGGTGAGGGGAAGGCTCTGCTGAGGCTGTTGTGGCTGCTTGGGCCGAGCTGGAAGAGGGAGGATAGTCGGGTTGCCAGGTCTTACCTGTCTGCTGGCAGGGGGGGGGTCCAGCCCTCTCCCGGTAGTCTTCTTGTGCATGCGCAATGATGTCACCCAGAGGTGATGTCATCACACAGGGCACGTCAGGCGGGACGCTCCAGCATTTGGGCAGAAAACTCTATGGCCACCATAGAGTCCTTGCCTAAATGCTAGAGCGTCCCTGGCGCAGCATGCTGGGTGCGATGACGTCATCAGGAGGGACAGGGCTCCCCCCCCCGCCAGCCGGCCCTGAAATGGGGGGAACCTCTGCCCCCATCGGGGGGATGGCAACCCCAGAGGATGGGCCCTAGGCTTGAAGCCGTCCTCAGGTCACTTGGTACGAGCTGTGGTCCTGCTGGGCTTGGAAGGGAAGATCTGGGGATTAGGCTGGACTAAGCTCCCTCCCCTCCCAAAAGCTTTGGGGTACTGCGAAAAGGAGAGGGGAGCGTCCTCCCTGAGATGGATTCTTTGTTCCGGCTCCTACAGTATTCACTAGACTAGCTCTTAAGTTAGTCATACGAGTTGCAAGGGAGTCCTCGGCAATGTTCCCTCGAAGCTGTGGAGTCTTGTGTGCAAAAATTCTACTTTGTGAGCTACTGGCATTAAGGTTGTGAGCAAGCGATTGGGCTACTGCATAAATTACTTTGCTCTGGAGCCCCATCCTTCCTGAGCTAAGACAAAAATGTGTGAGCCGGAGGCTAAAAAACTGTGAGCTAGCTCACAGTCACTCAGCTTAGAGGGAACACTGGTCCTCGGCACACTCCCTGGAAACCAGGTGTCCCCAACACGGTGCCGGTGGTCACCGTGGCCCTCGCAAACACAGAATCCTAGAATCACAGAGTTGGGAAGGGGCCCTACGGGCCATCTAGTCCAACCCCCTGCTCGGTGCAGGATCAGCCTAGAGCGGGGGTGGCCGACGGTGTGGCTCTTTCACACATATTGTGAGGCTCCCGCTACAGTGGCTGGGGAAGCAAAGGGGAGGCGTGCCTCCCCGGTTGGTCTCCCCTTCCCCAGCCAGTGCAGAGAAAGAAAGCAACCTGAACTTTAAATGCATTCTCAAAGGCCCCCCCACCCCCCCAGCCGGCCGGCTTGGAGAAGGCATTTGTCTCTTTAAACCCCTTCTCCAAGCCAAGCTAACTGGCGTGTGGGGGGTACGGGGGGGGGCTTGGAGGACGCATTTAACGTTAAGGTTGCTTTCTTTCCACCTCCACCTCCCTCCCCCATCTATTTGCTTTCTTTCCACTTTCTTTCACTCTCTTTCTCCCCTCCCTCCCCATCTAAAGTTACCAATCTAGTGTCAATAAAAGCAGATCTGCAAATTTTTCAATAAAAACATTAAAACGACTGTAATATCGTACAAAATGGCTGTCTTGCGGCTCTCAGACGTCTGACGTCTATTCTATGTGGCTGTTACCGTTAAGCAACCCCTGGCCTAGAGCATCCCCGACAAGTGTTCGTCCGGCCGCTATTAAAGACGACCAGGGAGGGGGAGCTCACCGCCTCCCTAGGCAGCTGATTCCACCGTCGCACAACTCTGACTGTAAAAACAGTTGTCCCTAAGATCCAGCCGGTACTTTCCTGCCCTTAATTGAAGCCCATTCTTGGGAGTCCTCTCCTCTGCTGCCGGCAGGAACAGCTCCCTGCCCTCCTCTAGGCGACGGCCCTTCAGAGACTTCAAGAGAGCCGTCACGTCCCCTTTCATGGCTCCTGTGGTGCTTTTAGAAAGTGTGCTATTGCCCAGCAAGGGCTTCTGATTGGCCACTGGGGTTCTGGTTGCTTTGGCAGCAGCGGCCACAACACAGGGATCTTCGCTGGGTGACTGAAGGGGAGCCACGACAGCCATTTTGCGGCTGGCTCTGCCTCCTGCAGCAGCCCTTCTGTGGCTGCGCCCACCACCCGATAGAATTCCAAAGGAGCCCACAGGCTCAGGAAGGCTGAGAGCCAGTTTGGTGTCGTGGTTCAGTGCGCGGTCTCTAATCTGGGAGAACTGGGTTTGATTCCCCACTCCTCCACTTGCACCTGGCTGGATGACCTTGGGCAAGTCATAACTCTGGCACAGCTGTTCTTGAAAAAGAGCAGTTTCTGTCAAGAGTTCTCTCAGCCCCACCTACCTCACAGGGTGTCTGTTGTGGGGAGGGGAAGGGAAAGGAGTTTGTAAGCCGCTCTGAGACTCCTTTTGGTAGTGAAGGGCGGGGGATAAATCCAATCTCTCTCTCTCTCTGCTGTAAAACAACAAAACCCAAAAAAGCTTTGAGTTGCAGATATTGTGGGCGGGGTGTGCGTGTTTGCCTTGCAATTTCTGCAACGGTTCAAGGGTGCTGGAACGTTCGAGAACACAGGGTGGGCCACATGAAAATGGAAGGGACTGTCCTTTGGTGCAATACGTGCAGTGAATGAAGTAGCCCTGGGATATTACAGCATTGGAGAAGGTGCAGATAAGGGCAACTGGCACGATGAAGGGGTTAAAGGTTAAAGAGGTTAGGGCTCTTCAGCTTGGAAAATGACAATGGAGGGGTGACATGCCAATGTTCCCTCTAAGCTGTGGAGTCCTATGAGCAAAAAATCTACTTTGTGAGCTACTGGCATTAAAGTTGTGAGCAGGCAATTTGGCTACTATATAAATCAGTTTGCTCTGGAGCCATCCTTCCTGAGCTAAGGCAAAAATGTGTGAGCCGGAGGCTAAAAAACTGTGAGCTAGCTCACACTAACTCAGCTTAGAGGGAATACTGGACATGACAGACATTTAAAAAAAATGGTGCATGGGACAGAGAAGGCAGAGAAAGAAGTACTTGTCTCCCTTTCTCACAATACAAGAACTCGTGGGCACTCCATGAAATGACTGAGCGGTCGGGTTAGAACAGATAAAAGGAAGTCCTTCTTCACTCAAAGAGTGATTAACACGTGGAACTCACTGCCACAGGAGGTGGCGCCGGCTACAAGCAGGGACGGCTTCAGGAGGGGATTAGATAAACATCTGGAGCAGAGGTCCATCTGTCTGGGGTAGTGATGCTCTGTATTTTTGGTGCTTGGGGGAGCAACAGTGGGAGGGCTTCTGGAGTTCTGGCCCCGCTGGTGGACCTCCTGATGGCACCTGGGCTTTGGCCACTGTGTGACACAGAATATTGGACTGGATGGGCCACTGGCCTGATACAACATGGCTTCTCTTACGTTAACATAAGAACATAAGAGACGCCAATGTTGGATCAGGCCAAAGGCCCATCCAGTCCAACCGTCTGTCACACAGTGGCCAAAAATACCAGGTGCCATTAGGAGGTCCACCAGTGGGGCCAGGACGCTAGAAGCCCTCCCACTGTTGCCCCCCCCCCCAAGCACCAAGAATACCTGCCCCAGCCTGTAAGTTCCTATCTGTACCTTGTGGCTCATAGCCACTGATGGACCTCTGCTCCATATGCCTATCTAATTCCCTTTTGAAGCCATCCACGTTCTCATGGGTGTGGATTTTGATCCCAACACACACATTCATTTCCCTCTCCTGTGATATCAGAACGCATTGGCACGCTAGGCAGCTGACTGGCAGGCAAGAGGTTCTGGGCAGAAAAAGAAGAAGCCCTTCTCCTCTTGGAGCAGTGAGCTTATGGGATTCACTGCTACAGCATAGGACGGTGTGTGGGGCCACTGGTTTGAGTGGCTTTTTTAAAAGGGGAGAGATAACCTTGTGGAGGCCAGATTTTTAAAGAGCTTCTTCAGACGCACTAACTGTAACCTTGCTATTGAGGAGGGAAGAAAACAATCAAACAAACTGCATTGTCGGTGGGCACACAGCATAAATGCAGCCATGTACAATTCAAATCGACTGCGCTTCCTGTATATCGTGCCCCCTCTTGACACTGTTTTCCTTCCTCCAGCAGACAATGGCTGCACCTGAGGAAATGGACTCTTAATCTACAAATGCTTCTGCTGGAGGCAAACTTTGTCAGTCTCCTGTTGGTTTATAGCTGCCACGGGTGAAATACCACAATCCCTCTGCAATCCTTTTGCACCTTTCACCACAGCAGGATCTCCACTGAGTTACGTGAATGCGAGAAAATATTTTCAAATGTTATGTCTGTTTCCCAAGGCATCTCCCTAAAACTTTGGAGAGTTACTGCTGAAAGTTATACATCACCTCACTCCCTGACACTTTGTGACTGGCTTTGCCAGCTGGGGCAGCCATTTTGTGGTGGCCCTGACTCCTGTGGCAGCCATTTTGCGGTCGCACCCTGCACCAGAGTACCAAGGACGCCACAGGCTCAAAAAAAAAAAGACTGACTGTTTTTGTTGTCTGAACACACTCCTAACAGCAACGACCCCAACGATCTCCTGGCTTGGCTCTTGCTGGGAAATTCTCCTCACGGGACATTCCGGAGGAGAGGCCTGTGGCACAAAGCGGGCCTGAAAGCTGTGAAAAAGCTTGGAACCGAGACACTGTCATCCCCAAAAGTCAAAAAGCCACGCCCGCGCGGCTGAAAAAAGGCGGGAAAGAAGCGTATTGGAACCGGGAGAGGGACAAGAAAAGGGGTGGGGGGAGCATTCTGTAGACTCTGGAAAACAAGCCTATTAAACATACTTAGTCATGACAGGGCCGCATTTATAATGTGAGCGGGGCCAAAGACCTTTCGCTGCCGAAGGGAGCTCTGAAATCCCTGTGCGGGAGGCAGGGTTCCGAGGAGAGCAGGCAGTGCATGGACCGCGCAGGCAGCCAGGCCGAGAGAGAGCGTTCCGCGTGCGTCAGTGTCACTGCCGGAGAATTGCTCAGGCAGGAGGCGAGAGCGACGGGCCTAACTGAGCCCTGCCGCCCCCTTGAAAAAAGCAGCTCCTTGTCGAGACCACCCTCGCGGGGTTTGTTGCGGGGTGATGGAAACGAGAGCCGTCACGGCACGATCCCGCCGGCGGGCGATGTCACGGAAATAGTTCTGGCAAGCTAACAACCGCATACCGAGGCTCGTGCCCGGAAATCTATGCGCCTCGTGCCTGGAAATGACACACCAAGTTGGAGAGCTTTGTAGACACTGGGCTGGCCGACAAGTTCTGTTCTGTGGTACAGTGTGTACGTTTGTGAGGGGGGAGAAGGGGAGAGTTTGGAGCTTGTTTTGTTGCCATGTTTAGCTAAAAGGAGGAAGAGGAGGAGTAGTAGGAGGAGATGGAGATTGGATTTATACCCTGCCCTTCACTACCTGAAGGAGTCTCAGAGTAGTTTACAAACTCCTTTCCATTCCCCTCCCCACAACAGACACCCTGTGAGGTAGGTGGGGCTGAGAGAGCTCTGAGAGAAATTGCTCTTTTTCAAGAACAGCTCTTATCAGAACTACGGCTTGCCCAAGGTCATCCAGCAGGTGCAAGTGAAGGAATCGGGAATCAAACCCGGTTCTCCCAGATTAGAGGCCGCGCACTTAACCACTACACCAAACTGGCTCTCACACCAAACTGGCTCTCCTGCAATGAATACAGCAGCCCGTGACAGAACTTGGGGAGAGCCCAGGGACAGCCGCTGTGGCGCAGTGGATGGACCCAGGAACGGAGAGGCCCGGGTTCAAATTCCCTTCTACCAGAAAGTTCTCCAGGTGGCCACAGGCCAGATATTCTCTCTTCAGCCTGAGAGCCAGTGTGGGGCACTGGTTAAAAGTGGTGGACTCTTATCTGGAGGACTGAGATTGATTCCCCACTCCTCCTCCACATGAAGCCTGCTGGGGGACCTTGGGCCAGGCACAGTTCTCTCAGAGCTCTCTCAGCCCCACCTGCCTCACAGGGTGCCTGTTGTGGGGAAGAGAAGGGAATACGATTGTAAGCCGTTTTGAGACTCCCTCAGGGTAGAGAAAAGTGGATATAAAAACCAACTCTTCTTCTTCACTAACCTAGGGCCGTTGTGAGGAGAAAGTGGAGGGAGAGGGTGTGAGCAGGCGACACATATTGTTCCGGGCTTTGTGAAAAGGGTTGGTCTACGCATACACCGAATAAATTATTGGAGAAGAGAGTATGAAATGGCCACATCCCTCCCCTTTCCTGTCTCCTAGAAGGTTTGACCAACTGCCCACTCCTCATTCTGAGCTTCCAGCGCCTCCCGTGCTTTCCTCAAAGCTCTGCTGTCGTGAGAGTGAGAAAGCTTCTTTTGAAAACAAAAAGCTGGTTCAGGGTACCTGGCCAAGTGACAGGCACCTTTGCCTGGGGCAAAAATCAGGATCCCCCTCAGCGCAGTTTCTTTTCCTGTTTTTCTTGCTGAACGTCCAAAACAGGAAAAAAAGAACAAGAGTTCATTCAGCCCAAACGGCTTCTGGGATCAGCACAGCACATTCCGAACATAGGCTCTGTGTACTCACTGTGGGCTCCTTATCCCAACGGAGCATTCAGAGATAGAGCACACGCGTGAGAAGCCACAAAAGAAGAGCCCTGCTGGATCAGACCAGTGAGGGTCCATCTCGTCCAGCATCCAGTCTCACACAGTAGCCAGCCAGTTCCTCTGGAAGACCCAACAACAGGACAGAGAGGCCGAGGCCTTCCTCGCATAAGAACGTCAGAAGAGCCCTGCTGGGTCAGACCAGTGAGGCTCCATCTAGTCCAGCATCCTGTCTCACACAGTGGCCTCAACCAGTTCCTCTGGAGGGCCAACAACAGGGCAGAGAGGCCGAGGCCTTCCCCTCACAAGAAACATCAGAAGAGCCCTGCTGGATCAGACCAGTGAGGGTCCATCTAGTCCAGCATCCTGTCTCACACAGTGGCCTCAACCAGTTCCTCTGGAGGGCCAACCACGGGGCAGAGAGGCCAAGGCCTTCCCCTCATAAGAACATCAGAAGAGCCCTGCTGGATCAAATCAGCGAGGGTCCCTCTAGTCCAGCATCCTGCCTCACACAGTGGCCTCAACCAGTTCCTCTGGAGGGCCAGCAACAGGGCACAGAGGCCGAGGCCTTCCCCAAATAAGAACATCAGAAGAGCCCTGCTGGATCAGACCAGTGAGGGTCCGTCTAGTCCAGCATCCTGCCTCACACAGTGGCCTCAACCAGTTCCTCTGGAGGGCCAGCAACAGGGCATAGAGGCCGAGGCCTTCCCCGCATAAGGACATCAGAAGAGCCCTGCTGGGTCAGACCAGTGAGGGTCCCTCTAGTCCAGCATCCTGCCTCACACAGTGGCCTCAACCAGTTCCTCTGGAGGGCCAGCAACAGGGCAGAGAGGCCGAGGCCTTCCCCTCAGAAGAACATCTGAAGAGCCCTGCTGGATCAGACCAGTGAGGGTCCGTCTAGTCCAGCATCCTGTCTCACACAGTGGCCTCAACCAGTTCAGAGGCTGACGGCCTCTGAACATGGAGGTTCCCTTTAGTCATCACGGCTAGCAGCCACTGACAGATCTATCCTCTATGAATCTGTAAAATCCCCTTCTAAACCTGCCAATGCATGAGGCCATCACTACATCCTCTGGCAGCGAATTCCACACTGTAATCATTCACTGAGTGAAGAAGTTATTTCCTTTTGTCTGTCCTGCATCTACTGCCCATCAACTTCACTGAATGCCCTCAAGTTCTAGTATTTTTTTTGGGGGGGGGGAGTTCTCTCTGTCCCACTCTCTTTTTTTGCAGCTGACTTATGGTGACCCCCCATGGGTTTTTCAAAGGAAGAAGAAGAGGAGGAGGAGGAGATTGGATTTATACCCTGCCCTTCACTACCCAAGGGAGTCTCAGAGTGGCTTACAATCTCCTTTCCCTTCCCCTCCCTACAACAGACACCCTGTGAGGTAGGTGGGGCTGAGAGAGCTCCGACAGAAACTGCTCTTTTTCAAGGACAGCTGTGCCAGAAGGTTTGCCCAAGGTCATCCAGCAGGTGCAAGTGGAGGAGTGGGGGAATCAAATCCGGGTTTCCTAGACCCATGCACTTAACCACTAGGGCGGGGTAGAAATACTCGAATAAATAAAATAAATAAATAAACTGGCTCTGAACAAGAGATGTTCGGAGGTGGTCTTGCCAGTGCCTGCCTCCACGTAGCAACCCTGCCGGTCTCACATCCAAATACTGATCAGGGCCAATCCCGTTTCGCTTCTGAGATCTGACTTTCATAAACCTCTATAACATCCCTCTCCTTCGTTGTCTCTTTTCTCCACTGAAACATCCCAGCCTCTTTGAGCCCGGCGCACTGTTGCCCATGCGCTCCACCGCCCGGCGTTTTGCCCCCGGCTGCCGCAGCCCTGTACCAACCTCCCCTTCTGCAGCAGCAGGACTTTATCCTTCAAGGACTCGTCCAGCTGGTCCAGGAAAGGCGTGATGTCGACCGGCTCTTCCACGACGGCTTCTTTGATCGGGTGGAACCGGAACTCTCTCTTTTTCCCTATGGCGCGGGGGTGAAAGAAACGGAGCAGGTTCAAAGATGAGAAAGAGCCACCCTGCCCTCCCCGTAGGCGAGCACGTGGACCCGCCCCGCTGCCTTTGCCTTGATGACAAACCCAGGCCCAGTTCTGGCCAACAAAGGAAACGAGCATCTTATCTGTACTACTTTACACTGCAGCTGGCTGTTCCCCGGGCCCAATTCAGACTGACTTGGGACCGTGATACCTGAAGGACCCTCTTCTCCCAGCGAGAGGCCCTCCAGTCCCGACTGTCCCATCGAGCAATGAAGTTCATTTGGTGGGTGCACAAAACAGGGCCTGTTCAGTGGCGGCCCAACAATTATGGAACAATCCCCCTGGGGAGGTGCACCTGGCCCCCCTCACTTTCAATGTTCAGGAGGCAGCTGAAGACAGTTTTATTTAGGATTGCATTTGATTGAAGCCATCAGAGAAACATAGAGTTGGGAGGGACCTCCAGGGTCCTCTAGTCCAACCCCCTGCACGATGCAGGAAACTCACAAATACCTCCACACCCCCAGTGACCACTGTTCCATGCCCAGAAGATGACAAAAAGAAAAATCTCCAGGATCTCCAGCCAAACTGGCCTGGAGAAAAACTTCCTGGTCCCAGAGTGGCAATCAGCATTTCCCTGGGGGTGTAAGAAAGCCACAGTCCTAAATTGTGCTTTTAAATATCGCTGGGGTTATCAAGTCTATCTTCGCCAGGAGTGGGGGGCTCCCGGCTGGCGTTTTGTGCGCGTGCGTGCACAAAGCGCGTGCCGCACGCATGTCACCTGGAAGTGACGGGAAGATGCCAGGCACGCTGGGGGCGGGGCCACGGCCATACAAGGGAAAACTCTATGGTTTTCCCTTGTATGGCCGTGGCCCCACCCCCAGCATGCCCGGCGTGCCCGCGTCACGTCCGGGTGACGTGCACGTCGGGGTGGAGTTCCCCCCGGGGCCTGATCCGGCGGTGCCAGGGAATGGGCCTCTGGGATCCCTAAATATTGCTTTTGATGTTTTTTGTGTATTTTATTGTGCGTTTGTTTGATCTTTTGTCGCAAGCCGCCTTGAACTCCGTAAGGAAGAAAAGCAGCTAATAAATGTTTTAAAGAAAACAAACTCCCCTGCACCTAGAGAGTTAGCTTCCCGGGAAGGATGGGCCCTGAGATGCTTCATTTTCTCTGTTAAGGGTAGGGGAGTTTGCCTTAAAAGAGGCATTCAATCACCTGACTCAGTGCTCTGAAAAAAAACCCAACCCAGCCACCAATCTGAGTGAACGCTAGCCGGGAGATGGCAACGTACTGTCTGCGTATTTAGATACAAATCAGAAGATGTCAGGTCTCATTCTCTGCTCTGGCCATTAAGGGAGCTGCCGGGAATTTTGCATCACGGGGCTGGGAACGGTGAGGTCACTGCGGGGCCCCCAAGAGACGAATCCGTCAGCCTCGCTTCCTGCGCAAGCATTGTGCTCTGGGCCTTTGTTCTGGCATCTGGGCCTGCAAGGGCACACAGTGTTCTTGCAAGGAAGTCTCTCTCTCTCTCTCTCTAGACCCAGGCACGCTGCATAAAGGACACCATTCTCCTGGGCTGCCTTGCCCACCTTCCGGCTCTTTCAAGGCCTGGCCCTCATCCACCTGCTCTTAACAGGCAAGGCCTCAGGGGAGCAGTGTTATGTCCAGGCCCCGGTCACGTCTTGCTCCTTGGATAGTGCAGATTCAGGCCATGACTGCAGTGGGGCATTTCTGGGCCCTGCCCCCTTAATCGGGAGCTCCGCCCCACAAATACCAATGCCAGAAACCGTATTTTTTAGGACACCGCCCCCCACTACTGGCAGAAGGCCAGGGTGAGAGCTCCACGGCTTGCCCTCAGGCTTTCCTCTCCCTCCCACTGTCGAATTTGGGGGCGGGGGCATCATGGGACCCAGGACGAGACAGCCCAGAGGGTACTTAAATGCCTTCAGAGTTCCCGTCCACAGGACAAGAAAGCTTAGAAGGACCCTCAAGAGTGGCACCTTCAGTACATCTCCGACAATCCCCCTTTCTGCTAGCCCAGTCCTGCTGTAGACCACCCAGGTCATGGTGAGTCTTTCCGAAGCATTCCCATGAGCCCTTGGGAAACATGCAAATTAACTGGCCCACAGGCCATGACCTAGGTCAGGGGTGTCGAACTCATTTGTTATGAGGGCCGGATCTGACATAAAGGAGACTTTGCTGGCCCGGGCCATGTGTGTAATAAAATGTAATGCCAGGGAGCGGAGATATAAACTTTATAAAGGACACAAACAAAAGGCCTTCAAAACCAGGCGGCCGTGGCGGCCCTCTACCCTGTGGTGTACACGAGGCCCTCTGTTTTGTGAACCTTGTCCTGAAGGGGGTAACGTGTGCGACCTACGGGGCCGTGGGAACGGGGTTCCTCTCCACGATCCGGCAGCTGCCCCTGCCCGGACCTCCTCACCTTTGCTATTCAAGTCTTCTTCGTCGTCACTGAAGGCGGCCTCTGCGTTGTCGTAGCAACTGTCGTCTTTGTCGGACATGTGATTGTCCATCTCCATGGAAACCGGCTCCTCGATTTTGACTACAAGGAGGAATGCGAGAGAGGTTGGGTGGGGGGATGCCGCCAGCTTGCCCCGTGATGCGAGGCGGGGGGTGAAGGCTGTTCCCCACTGTCCTGTCTGGTTCTAGGGGGCGACTGTGGGGATTCGAACCCAGGACTCAGTATTAGTCCGACACTCTCAAACGCCACACCACACTGGCTCTCTTTCTGCCCAAATGGGGATGAACGGGAATGAGTTCGGAACTTGCGGCTTGACGTCTCTAGCAAAATGCCTTTATTCGAGGTCCGACACGCCAAGGGTGTGTCATGTCTCTTGTCGGGTGTGGGACAACGGTTATTTATTTATTTATTTGCTTGTTCAACTTTTATCCCGCCCTCCTGGCCGAGGCCGGCTCAGGGCGGCTGACGACAGATAAAATCCCAAATTACATATAGATAATAAGTACAACTTTAAAATACTATATTAAAACCAGATATAATAAAATGCTAATCTCATCCGTCGGTATTGCTGGTCTGCTTCAGATGCTGTTAAGTACTTCAGACGTCATAAAAGGGGGGGAATCGGCTCGGGCAGCTGATAGGGGTCCAGTGGGTCAGGGCTCTTCGCCATACGATGTCAGTTGGCATTCCCGATGGGAATAACAGTGGGGGTGGGGGCGACGGCGGCTCCAAAGGCCTGGCGGAAGAGCTCAGTTTCGCAGGCCCTGCGGAACTGTAAAAGGTCCCGCAGGGCCCTGATCTCCTCGGGGAGCTCATTCCACCAGGGTGGAGCCACCACCGGAAAAGCCCTGGCCCTGGTCGTTGCCAACCTGGCCTCCTTAATGCTTGGGAGGGCCGGTCGATTCTGGAATCCCCGAGCGCTGGACTAGGAGAGATGTGGGTTCAGGTTCCCCACTCGGCCACGATGTTCACTGGCTGGCCTCGGAGCCAGACGCGCCTTCTCTCAGCCCAGCCCGCTTTACAGGACTGTTGTGAACAGGGGTCATTTCCTGCAGGAGCACACAGGAGCGGAGCTCCGGCAGTAAGGAGCCCAGGGGGCGGGCACATGCAACAAGCCCCGCCCCCTGCTCCCAGCAGCCCTCAGTCGGGCCACGAGGAGCAAGAAGCTGCCAGGTAAGTTGCAAAGCCTCCCCCTTTCAGGTACAAGCTCTCCCACCTCTGTGAGGGCAGATCCGCACGTCCCCCCCCAATAGCTAGAAATCCAAAAGTCCAGTGGAGCCTGAGCGGTGGGTGTTGCCTTCTGACACACTTCCGGTGATGTCAGGGGGTGTGGCCTATGCAAACAAGTTATGCTAATGAGCTCCTGCACCTCTTTTTCTACGAAATGACCCCTGGTTGTGAACACCAGAGAGAAGAAACCATGTCTGTCACCTTGAGCTCCCTGGGGGGGGGTTAAATATACACGAGACAGGAAAGCGACACGGCTTCTGCCTGGCTCGTGCCGGTTGTGGCAAAGGAGGCCTAGGCTTCCCAAGTTCCCCTGGGGGGCGGGGAAACCCCCGCCCCAGAGGCCCGTTCCCCCCCCCGCCGCCAGCGGATCAGGCCCCGGGGTGAACCCCACCCCAACGTGCACGTCACCCGGAAGTGACGCGACCACACCGGGCACGCTGGGAGCGGGGCCACGGTCATCCGAGGGAAAACTCCAGCCGCGGTGCGGGAGTCCCCCGGTAAGGAG